TATATATATATAATAAAATGGTGTCAGCACAGTGTGTAATGCTGTCGCCTCACACAAAGAAGGTCGCTGGTTCGAGCATCAGCTGGGTCAGTTGGCATTTTCTCCTCGAATTTACATTGGTTTTCTTCTAACCCCTGATTAATAAAGGGACTAAGCCGAAGAGAAAATGAAGGAATGAATGAATATTAATAAATAAATGTGTATTAATGTGACTAACTTTGAAATCATTAACACTTTAAGACACTTCAGAATGTGCAAAACAAGTCAGACTTTTTCTTTGTGGATAAATAATCCCTTTCCCCCAACAACAACTGAGCCAAAGAGAGTCTAAAACCTCCCAGGCTTTTCCTCCACAGAAGATCCATCTCTCTTTCACCCCTTCCATCCACAGGCCTCTTTATACCATTAGTTCACGTCTGTCTCAAAATATACCACCACGGGGCTTTCATTTATTAATCTGGCACTGAGACGGCGCCTGTGGCAGGACGGGCTGCAAAAGGGGTCCAGCTGGGTCACAATGCCCTGTCAGGATCAGATTCAGGATCTCCGGTGAACAAAACGAGTTCGATGTGAGGCCTTTTGGACTCTGTTGCGCTCCGTTCTCTATCAAACGTGACACAGTTTTGCAGACACCGGGGAGATGAGGGACTATTATTAGAGCGACGCTTCTGCCTTCCATCCATTCAGCCTGACATCAGTCTGAACACCGCAAAAGAAACTTGCTTGTGCAATCAAAAACAAGGGTTGTAGGGAGCTGCAGGATAGTACAGGCGATTCATGACTGTGCAATGGTGTTTGTGTACATCAGTCACGTTCGGTCATTTTTCAGCCTCCAAAACAAAGAAGTGTTATTTGAGGGATTTACTGTTGGTGACTATTTTAAAATCATTAATATTGTTTATATATATATATATATAATTCTGAGTAATTTTAATCCTGCAGTTTTGCTGGCAACTACCGTAAAGCTAACAAAAATAATTTTGACCAACAACAATTGTCAACATAATGTTCGTTTGTTTGTTCCTTAATCTTTCCTTTCCTCTTATATTCCATCATTCTTTCCTCCTTCCTTCCTTTCTTGGCTGAGTTGCAGTCCACTTTTACTCACACACTCACAAACTTCCCTTCTTCCTTCTTTGGTTATCCCTTCCATCCCTAATCCTTCTTTCTTTCCTTCTTTTTTTTCTTTCTTCCTTCCTTCCTTCCTTCCTTAATTCTTACTTCATTAATCTTGCCTTAGTCAATTTCTTTCTACCTTCCCTCCTTCCTTCCTTCCTTCCTTCCTTCCACCTTTTATCCTTCTTTATTTAGCTGCGCTCCAGTGCACTTTTAGACAAACACTCGCAAACTTCCCTTCCCTAATTCTCCCTTCCATCCTTAAACTTTCCTTAGGTCATTTATTCCTTCCTTCTTACCTTCCTTTTTTCCACCCTTCATCCTTCCTTCCTTGGCTGCATTCCAGTCTACTTTTAGACACACACTCTTCCCTTCTTGCTTCTTTTATCCTCCCTTTCTTCCTCAATATTTTTTCCTTGCTTCCTTCTTTCCTTGCCTCTTTTCTTCCTTCCTCCGTTTCTTCACCCTTTCTTCCTACCTTCATTCCTTCCTTCCTTATATAATCTTTGCTCCCTTTCTTCCTTTCTTGCTTGCTTCATTCCTTCCTTCCTCCGTTTCTTAATCCTTCCTTCCTACCTCCTTCCTTAATTTTTACTCCCTTCATTCTTTCCCTTCTTCCTTCCTTCCAACATATAGACACACACTTGCAAACTTCCCTTCTTTAATCCTCCCCTCCGTCCTTAATCGTTCCCTCTTGCTTCCTTCCTTCCTTTCCTCCTTTTTTTCCTTCCTTCTTCCTTCCTTCCTCCATCCCTTCATTCCTTTACTTCCTTCCTTCATTCTTTCTCCCTTCACTCTTCCTTCCTTGTCTACATTCCAGTCCTTCCTTCATCCTACCTACTTTCCTATCTTTCTTCCTTTAAACACTATTGAAGTCTTCCCTTCACTTGTTTCAAAGTGTGATCATGAAGTGAATGAGTGAAGTTTACATAGACGTTCCCTCAATCCCTTAATTTTGACAGAGGAAGCGAGTCTGCTTTATATGTCAACCTCAGCACCTATATGTCCCAGAATGCAATGCAATTGTGATGTTTCCAAGTGCGCAAGTGCTCAAGGGTTTAGGGCATTTTATTTAAACCCAAGCAGATGTTTCACCAGTGGTGGATAATTGTATAACATAATCAAAGACATACATAAATTTGAGTAAATGAGACGGAAGCGGGTGAAGGGTATAAAAGATAGGACTGGAATGAAGCCTTTCCTTCCTATCTTCCTTCATTTAAAGGAACAAACATTTTGTTTGTTTGCTTGTTTTTTTGTCTTTTTTTTTGTAGTATTGAACAAAGGTAAATTCAATATTAAGGTGGATTTCAAATAATTACAGGATTACGTAATTACTCTTTCAAAACAGTGAACTTTCCAGTGTTTCTAGTGTCCATATAAAAAAACAACAACAACAAAACAAATCCTAAGATTTCCCTCCAAAAAATCTAAATAAAGCATTATGTTATATATGAAATATGCTCAATAAAAATTATAATAATCATCACAATCTTTTTTTAAGCATTTTTTAAATCAAACAGATGCACACATTATAAGACACTTCCTTCTGAATGGTAGAACAGTAAAAAAAAAAAAAAAACAATTAATGTTAGTTGTAATTAAATGTGTTAAGAATAAGACTTAGCACCTCATCATACCATCATCACAAAGCCATTGTACTCTTTACACAACACTGAGCGGCCATTAGCATAAAATCAATACATCTTACCAGCAATAGTGGCTCTTTTTGGCAGGATGGTAATAGCGCCGACGGCCGCGTCCTCGAGCCCTTGAATAGGGCTGTTCTTCGCTCCCCAACTGTCTGAGCCAATCCACAGAAAATGGCCCACTTTATCGGCACTTTTAGTGGCATTGAGGATCCCCCTGTGAACATTAACACACACAACACTAGCTATAATTCCATCCACTTATTTTTATGAGCATTTTGGGATATTGCATAAAAGAAAAAAAAAAAATCTGAGAGGAAACATATGGACTTAGTTGTGTCAGATAGATACATGTTTAATCCAATAGAAAGATAATGCACATATATGGATACACAATTATTTAATAAATTCATTGATGAGCATCAAAAAAAGTTCTCAACTGAAGTTGGAATTAAATGACAAGACTAACCAGATGAAATTTTATGCAGGTATTTGAAGGTGTTCATTTCTTCATTTTCATTTGGCTTAGTCTCTATTTCAGAGGTTTCCACACTTCGGCGCAGCATCAATCCAGACAAAATTTCTAACCAGCATGCACCGCTTCAAGACAGATTTCGATCGATCTGCGCAGCACTGCATGAAGTCGAACGCACCCAATGAGTAAGGGTTTACAAACTAATTTTGAGAGGAGCTCGTGATATAATTGCTCTTAGCTGGTCTCTAATGTGTAATCAGCAATAATCCAATCAGATTGAATCAAGACTACAATAAATAGACAGAATTCACCCCACTACCTTATCTTTGTTTTAGGAGGAATCCCCCAGATTTAGGAGGAATACCTATTTCCTACCCCTAAACCCAACCATAACTGTAAATTATTCTCAAAATCAGAAGCGAATAATAGTTGGATAACAATCACGTAGAACTGCATAATCCTAACCATAAGCCTAAACTTAACATAAACTGTAAACATATCCCTTAATAAAAATACATATTTGTTAATCCAGGATCACATACTACTTGGTGAAATCAGGTTGGCAACAAACATTTTAGGGTAGGAAAAAAAAAATCCATCAATGTATTCAATGTTTTTGTGACACTGAAATTTAAACGTGCCTTGCAAAACATTGTTAAAATAACCATAAACTAACCCTTACAGAATGTTCCAGGGAGGGTTTTGTGGCAACCTAAAGATAACCTATTATCTAGCGGTTATTCCATTAAATCTTTTTAAGACACTTGATTGATCCCAAATTTTAATAGATCAAGATTTATTTTTCACAGCATTTCCTATAATATTGTTTCTTCTGCCATTTTTGTGTGGCGTTTGCATGTTCTCCCCATCTTGGCATGGGTTTACTCCGGGTGATCCGGTTTCCCGCACAACCCAAACATATGCGCAATAGGGGAATTGAATAAACTAAATTGTTCCTAGTATATGAGTGTGTGTCTAAATAAGTGTTTCCCAGTACTGGGTGGCGCCTGGAAGGGCATCCGCTTCATAAAACATATGCTGGAATAGTTGGTGGTTTATTCTGTTGTGGCGACCTCTGAAGTGGAGACTAAGCCGAAGGAAAATTAATGAATGAATGAAGAATAAATATACAAGGGGGCAAATAACTCAGGTGGGCAAATAGTTCTGACTTCAACTGTATCTGTGAAATACAAACATCAATTTCAATATCGTATATGTGATTTGCATATATTGCCATGTACCAAATTTCTATGTAGACTTGACATCACTACAGGGAAATAAACTGAATTATTAATAATGTCTTGTAAACATAGGGCACTCACATTGCCAGGTCATTGGTTTAAATGTAAACCAGGACAATATGTCATTTAATAATCAGATTTATGTGAGATATTAGCATTTAAGAGTGCATGTAAACATGCTGATTAAAGCTCTACAGCAACAGTAACATTCTCATTGTGTATGAATGACCAAATAGCAATAGTCTGATAGGTGACATGTTGATGCTATTAATCGATACCCTCTAGAGATTAGCTTATCTGCCAAAACAAGATATAAACGGACCCTTGAGTTTAATAAGTAATAGCTTTCGGGCCAGTAGAGTATTGACTTGTTGTCATCGGGAGCTTCTTTTTCTGGAGCTCAAAAGGGAGCAATTAATTGTTTGAAACCTGAATGTATTGTAGGCCTGTTTCTCTTCTAGGGGCTGTCAGCTAGCTTACCGAATATCTTCGTCGTTTGCGAAAATAATGACCGCGCGGGCATGACGCGTCTCCAGGAGCTGTCGGATGATCTTGTCAAAATCTCCCTGTTTGTGGTCATGAGGGATCTTCAGCGACTGAGCGATGCAGATTCCACCTGCAGAGAGAAAGAGAGAGAAAGAGAGAGAGAGAGAGAGAAGATCAACACAAATAGATTCCAATTCAAATCTGGCTCAAAGTGTCCCAGTGTTATATTGGAGTGAAGTGTGGTCCTCTTCTCAGTTATTAGTTTGATAAATGGGATAGAAATCCATTAAAACCTTATATGCAGATTTCAGGTACATACTAATGGTACAGAGGAACACACCCAGCAATGCATGCATGAGGCTGAATTTAGCAATGAAGTTTGTAGGCAGGACTGGGTTAGAGCCACACATTTACCCCCGATTACCCAAACAAGGTTTAAGGCTAGTCAAGATTAAATTGCATGTTTGAGCTGTCCCAACTCAAAATAACCTGCAGGGAGGGGTCATTTTAATTTGTCTCCAGGTGCACACCAGTAATATATATATTTCTAAGGTCATTTTATAAATGTGGCTTAAACAGCCTAAATGATCTAAGGCCTAGTCCTGGCTTAATCTAAGCGCTGTTTGTGAAACTGGGCCCAAGTGTTTTGCACACACCTAACAGGCTGGCCTCAGAGCTGAGAGTCACTCGTTTGGGGCAGGTGAATGTGACGTAATAGTTTTTTTTTTCTTCACAGGTGTTCAAGGGTTGCCACGTTTCAAAGCAGAGGCTGTTACAACTGCAGCCACACGCATTAACCACAGCTCATAACTAGGGCCAGATGGAATCTGCGGAAGTATTTTGCTTTTTCTGCTGAGAATTTTGGTAAAAATTTGTGGATTTCTGCTGAATAATTTTAGGAGTATCATAACTAAAACCTTAATTTGTAAAGTAAAAATTATATCTTTTTAACTTTTATTTAATGTTGAAAATGCCAATCTAACTAAATTCTCTTTCTTTGGTAAACAAAAAGCAAGTCTGTCATAATATATAATATATAATATATCTACTAAAAGACAGAAAATATTACTGTACAAACTGCATGCACATAAATCAGATGAACATGTTCACGTTAGTCAATAATATTACTGTAATTAATTTAAAAACTGAATAAAAATAGATTTACACACATTTACTCAAGTAAATAAACAGAATTAATGATGGGCTAAAAATCTGCGGAAATTTGCGGAAAATCTGTGGAATTCTGCGTACGCAGATTCCGTGTGGGCCTACATATAACATACGATGGAATAGCACTTTAGATTATGCTTACAGCCATAACCGTCATTAACACTTATCGAATTAAGGCATGTGGAGTATTATTAGTTCAGTCGCATTATTGAAGTGCTGTATAGACACCAATACTCCCGATTTTAATATGATTAAGATAATACTCTTATTAAGAGTCTACCATGTAAATAGCCATTTTTGATTACCTTAAAGGACCACCCAAATCACAAAATGCAGAGGTCTTTCTTTCTATTCGGCATGTGGTATCAAATTCCATTAAAACAAAAGTCGAAAGATTAAAAATGAAACACACGAAATTAGATGAAACTCTGGAGGAAACACAGGATAGCCTAATGATGCAACATTAATAGTTTTATACTGAAACTTTCCTTCTAAAAGCGCTTCCTTGCTCTTAACCATATTTCTTTGCACGTTAAACATACATCGACCACAACAGGAAAAAACTGCAAAACTGTGTTAATTATGTTAATTTTTTTTTACGTGTTTAATATTTCAAATTAATCGCATACGGTAACACACTAGTTCTGACAGCACTGATATGTACATATACACATATATATATATATATATATATATATATATATATTAGGGTTGTAACAATATACCGTTATGACGGTCTACCACGATTTGAACGTGCACGATTATCATACCATGAACAATTGCATATCAACGGTTTTAACCCTTAAAGACCGAAACAGCCGCCCGCGGCTAAAAATAAGTATTGCTCTTAAATGTTTAATAACTTTTGATCCGCTCCAGTGCTTTATCACATAACATGACAAAGAAACGCTCGTCACTGTGTCTCCGGACAAACCAGACATGATACATTGATACATTGTCCCTCCTCCATGCCCAGATTGGTTCAAACTCGCTATATCACAACCATAAGCATAGGTTTCGCTTTTGTTTGTGGACCAACAATGAGCTTTTTGAACAACACGGAATGAGAGATAGGCATGCACAGCAGCACAGAAACATGACAAAACAGTGACACACCAAAGACGAACTGCTGCTCTTGCTGTTTTCAAAAGACGCAAATGAAGGTGCAGCTGTTTGTCTGCATTGCAGACAACCATATCCAAATCCATATCCACAGACAACCATATCCATGCTGGCACATAAAACCTAAGGATGTTCCATATTGAATCTAGTTTCGTTATGTAACTATTTATAGTATAGTAAATATTTATATCTATTTTTTTACTGAGGATTTGCACCATGTTTATTTGGACTTTATTTGGACTTTGACACATTATTTATTATTTTCTTATTTTTTATTTGTTCATTGTAAGTGGTGTTGTTTATAGTAACTAAAAATATATTATTTGGAAAAAGTCAAATTTGCTTCACTGTTCTATTATTTTGTAACATTTGTAACATACCGTATACCGCGAAACCGTCAAACCGTGGTATTGTTTTAGACGATTATCATACCGTAAAAAATTCATACCGTTACAACCCTAATATATATATATATATATATATATATATATATATATACACACACACAAGTGTACAATTTGTTTTTATAGACAACCTATCATCACATGGCCATTTGTATTTTCCCATTATTTCATTTTTATAAACTAATTAATTAACATTCCCTGAATGATATATATCTTAAAAAAAACTAAGATCAATATAATTGGGTCTACGTAATAACCATAAACTAACCTTCCCAGAATGTGGCAGGGATACTTTTTGCCAACCTAAACAGAACCTATTATTTAAGGGTTATTCCAATAAAACATTTCAACACAGTTCCCAAATGTTATACATAT